TTTAGTAAGGCACAATAAAAGAGATGACACGCAGTGCAGAAATTAGTGGGAATATACGTTCGATAAATCTAATTGGGATACCATCGATGCCAACCGACACCGACTTCGCTTTGTTCAATGCCAGAATAACCTCAATCACCTCAACACAACGAAAATAGAAGAAATGAGATGCATAAGTCCACAGATTAAATCCAAAGTCAGCATCATCGCCCAGACTGCAGACGCCAACGAAAAATTTAAATCATCACCTTTACGATTCCAGATCGCGTTATCCTTATTTCGAGTACATTTCAGAATCTTCCATAGATCCGCAGTATTGGCATTTTCGAAAAGATTGGTAATTGAATTCTCTTTTCCTTATTTCTCTTCCCTATAATGCTTCTGGCTTCATTATGCAGCCTACGATAAGCTCATCTTTTATGTGGAGTAGAGCCCGACCTGATACAATCCAATTCTTTTTTTAACAACTGTAGTGAAAGAAAATAGGCTAGTGAAAAGAAAGGTAAAGTACGCACATACTATGTCTACTTCAGGAATGTTAAAACCCAGACCAGCATTAAATTCAGAAAGACATGAATATAACCCATCTTTACCTTGATATAGAAGTACGTACAACTCAATTCATTGCATCTAATTGTCAAGGTATTGGCAACTCTATTTTAATAAAAGAGAAATACAAATGTTTTCGTGATAACTGAATTATTTTGTAGAAGAAATTGCTTTCAAGTGAATTTTAAAGAATTAAACCGGTTTCTATAACGGCGCCGTATTCCGTTAATCGTCAGTCGCGTCATTGTCCGCCGTTAGTTTTCAGCAAGTAATTACTATGACTTGGGTATCCGATTACAAATATACTTGGTATGAAAAGTTGGCTATGAATGTCATTAGATCGGGTGGTCATTTACCGGATCACGTTGCATTTGTCATGGATGGTAATCGGCGGTATGCTAAATTAGAACATATACGCAAAATTGACGGTCACTCACGCGGCTTTGATAAATTGGCCGACTGTTTGCGTTGGTGTTTGGATATGGGTGTAAAGGAAGTAAGCACATTTGCGTTTAGTATAGAAAATTTCAAACGGTCAGAAGACGAGGTAGATGACTTATTAAATTTAGCTCGTGAAAAATTTACAAAACTGTTGGAAGAACGTGCAAAACTGCATGAATATGGAGTCCGCGTACGAATAATAGGAAATTTAAGCCTTTTGCCGGACGACTTACAATCTTTGATGGCGCAAGTAATGTTAGAAACTGAAAAAAACAA